AGATTAACTTTTCCTCCGCCGAAAATTGCCAACGGCAAATAGGATGCGTTGATACGACTTAGCCTGTATCCGGCCTTCTAGCAGGAGATCTAATACAGAAATTAGAATTTGTGATTCATTCTATCAGTCAACTGGAAACTATATCCGGACTATTTCAATGAAACATTCTTCATCGTTAAGAAAAATCTGTTAGATGCGCTCTACACGAATCTTATATGAACATTTCCAGGAATTAATCTGACATGCAAAATGGGGTTTGATGAACAACTCCCATTTCTGGTTGTCCCTTACATCGAAAAACCTATGGAAGTTTTTACACATCAGTTTACTGCGAAGAGGCATATTCAGGGGTCATCCTAAAACTTAAAAGTAATTGTCCAGTTCCTCACAAAAGGAGTGCTCCCTCCAGCCGCATGCGCCTTCCCGTGTGATCCATCAAGATCGTGTAGAACATCACGCTCCACATCGAGACCTCACTGTTTTCCAGACCTGTTCAACTCCACAGGTGAGAAACATCTGAAAAGGGGACTATTCTCTCATGAGGAGGGAAGCGGCAGCCGTATTATGGGAGACTGAACTGCATTGTCAGGCAAACGACAACTGGAATACCTCCAGTTCCTTACTGAAAGAGATTGTTTTTTCCAATTGTCCACTCAGAAGAAAGACAATCAAAAACCGCCGAAACTTGATAAACCCGGACTTAAAGGCCTCTTTCAGAAAAAGGAATCGTCTGTGGAGGCGTTACAGACAAACTGGCTCCGAACAACACTTACAGAAATATAAGCCTCAAAGCTGCGAACGAAATTTGAACTGAACATACTTCGAAATTCGTCGGAGCATCCGAAAATTCTATATGGTTACGTACGAATTACTAAAAGGACTCCGGAGCTGATCCCTGCCCTGAGGTCTGAGATGGCAAAGTGGAGATTGACGACCAGGTAAAAGCGTCCGTGCTTTCCGACTCCCTTCAGTCCATCTTCACCCGAGAACATAGTGCTATATTTGCCCATCCATCCATTCGCCAGCCAACCTCTCCTCCCATTACTCTTCCCCCTCCTACACCCTACAAGCTTGGAGGCCGTGGGGTGTTGTGGATCAAAACTGCCTCGAAAGAGTCCAGAGGAGAGCCACGAAGATGGTCAGGGATCAAAGCTCCTTTCCTTATGCGACCCGCCTAGTAAATCTGAACCTCTTTCCTTTGAGTTACAGGCAACTTCGCGGAGATCTCTTGCAAGCCTTCCGCATTGTAAAGGGGTTGGATTGCAGTCTGGCCTTCGAGGACTTTTTTGAATTTGCTACCACGACCAACCTCCGAGGTCGCCCGTTAAAACTGCGCACTCAGCAGGCACGGCTGGATGTGCGGAAGTTCTCCTTCTCGGTTCGGGTGGTCAAACCGTGGAATGAGCTTCCCGCAGATGTTGTGATGTCACCGTCTATACAAAGTTTTAAGAAGAATCTGGACATATTTATGTTCCGAAATGACCAAGAGCGATGAGAAGTCGAGCTCACCCCCTGTAACTCCTTCTCATTTTGTCCCACCATTATGGGCGTGTTCGAACTATTTCAGCCCAGAAGATCTATCTGTACACCACACATTTTTTACGTTGCGAATAGGGTACTCAAAGGCTTACGCCTATTTCCATCAATAAACTGATCTGAACTGAACTGAACCCTCCTTACCCTCCTTAACCGAGGAACCACTCTTTTCATCGACGATAATTAGGGTCGAGCTACTCCGGCTGAAACCTGCCAAATCGCTTGACCCGGATAGAATTCCCGCACTTGCACTTCGTGAACGTGCTAATAAACTGTGCAAGCCATTATCCGCAATATTTCAAAAGTCATTAGAAGACGGCGAGCTCCCGGAAGAATGGAAGTGCGCACTCATTACTCCGATCCACAAAGGAGGCTCAAGACTTGACTGCGGAAATTATCGTCCCGTCAGTCTTACTTGCATCGGCTGTAAAATAATGGAACGCATTATCAAAAGACACTTGATGAAATACCTGGAAAAAAACAAAATATTATGTGATGCCCAACACGGCTTTCGTCCAGGGCGCTCCTGCCTAACGAGTGTTCTTTACTCGCACGAGAAATAAACACAAGTTACCGATAAGGGTTTTCGAGTGGATGTCATATTTTTGACTTCAAGAAGGCCTTTGACAGTGTCCCACACAGGCTTCTTTTACAGAAGATCTGGGATATAGGAATTCAAGGAAGAATGTTCGAACAACGAATCGTCGTTGGCAACTCTACGTCGGGATGGTCAAAGGTGGAAAGTGGTGTCCCACAGGGTTCTGTCTTAGGCCCAGTACTCTTCCTGATTTATTTTAGTGACTGCATCAACGAAGTGAATTGCGAGGCTCTCATGTTCGCGGATGACATAAAAATATGGAGTGAAGTCAAGTGTGATGATGACGCAGGGAAGTTGCAGTCGAATATCGACAAACTGTGTGCTTGGTCGAACAGATGGCTTTTGAAGTGTAACGTGTTCAAATGCGTAGTCTTGCACATGAACACCGGCCGCAATGCCTCTCCCAAACACCAGTACTATATTGACACGACGAGGTTAGAAACGATGGAAAGACACAGAGATCAGGGTGTATGGACGACCACAAATCTATCGTCATCAGAACACTGTAGAAAGATGGTCCAGAAGGCAACTAGTACTCTTCACTGGATCAGACGTGCATTTAAAATATTTCCTCCCGAACTCTTTGAAAGACTCTTTGGTGTCTTTGTTGGACCTCATCTGGAGTATGGAATGCCAGCAACTTCATCATAGGTGAGGAAGGATATCGACTTACTCGAACAGGTGCAACTCAAAGTGACAAAGATGGTCGACGGTCTAAAGCATTTTTCTTATCAGGAGAGGCTGAATTTGCTTGGCCTATTCCCTCTCACTTATGGGCAAATAAATTGCAGTCTACTTTGGACGTTCCGGATAGTCCGGATAGTCCGAAGCGGGCTTCTGTCTCCTCTTTCGCATTAATCATAGTTCAAATTTTCCTCGGATTTCAGCACTTACCCCTAGTAGTCGCCCATACAATCTTCGCAATTCGTCTCTAATTATACCTCTTCCAGCGTCCTCCACCTCTAAGNTGCTTAACGGACTTCTAATCTCAAAAACTATGCATTGCACTTTGTGCAGATTTTGCCTACATCGTCTAAAATTTGCATGTAAATTTATTTTTACTTGCTTTGATGGGACCCCGACGGGTCTTTAATAAAATAATTGAATAGTCCGCGGACAGGGTTGCTCATTAAGAGCAGAGGACTTCATTGAGCTCGCCCGTACAAACTAACTGCGCGGCCATACCTACAAAGTCGCGAATGAGCGCTCGCGCTTAGATCGTCGAAAATTTTCATTCAGCCAGCGGGTCGTCTGACTGCGGAACTCGCTTCCAAGCGAGATGGTGACGGCCGGCACAAGTTGTGTGTTTAAAAGAATACTTGCTCGCCTAGTTTTCGACAGAAGTTGGCTTTTACAGCATGACTATGCACAGCCATCTTTGTAAAAAACCCTCCGCACTAATTTACAGAGACCCTGTGCACTGCCTAATGATTACTATTGAAATGTGACTCGATTACATTGTAACTGCCTGCAATTTTATTTTTGATTACGAATCTGCGAAAGCTCTGTGCATAAATAGGGTCATCAACGGCTCTGTCTCTAACCCTTCAAATTGTTGCAAGTGCCTACACTCCCAAAAACAAGAGCCAGCCAGTCATGGATGGCCACGTGCGTTTTCTCTACTGAGGTGTCATCTTAATCGTGGCGCCTCTCCATTGGCTTTTCCCCTCGGGCCTGATCGATCTGCATATTCGATTTATCAACCGGCTCGTCTGGAATGTTCTTCACGAAGGGCATTGGGCCGCATGCCGGCGAAGCACAGCAGGGCGTTATAAATAGGCGTTACTTCCAGTTAATTTGGACTTGCAATTTCCTAATACACATTTTCGTGGCAGGTCGCGTTCTCCTTCTCTTTCGCGTTGGTATTGGGGACAAGGGTCGAGTGCGCATACGCTCTACAGGACTTTAAGTATCAGGAAGGTCAAAACACAAATATATACCTATTTACATAAAATATATCTTCGATACGACATCTTATATCAGTGCAATTATCCTAGCACCGACCTTACTCGAAATTAAGTACCTTTCATTCTGCAGTCGTTCTGAAAATTTGGCAAGAGAGGTGTGCTAACTGGGTGACCCGCACGATAAAAAATAAGTCATTTAAATAAGTAAGCCCGTATTTTGGCCAAAAGTCTCCCGGACACTGTAACATTGCTGAAGGAACAAGCACATATTAGACGTACCAGAGTGCAGTTGTACATTGCCCAAGATTGCCCAAACCAGAAGACAGAATAGACGGAATTATTAGAATTCTTTATAAAGACTTAAGTACGTGCGCACGGCTCAGGAGACGGAGGCAGCAAATGTCCGCATCTGACATGCATAAGCAATTTGTGGTTCCTTAAGGAACCACGGATGAAGTGTGCATATTCGGGCTTTTTCACCCTGAATCTAATAGATTGAGGCAAAACTACAAGCCAGCGTTACAGTTTCGACGGACAAAAGGCCGAGTCAGACGTGCGAAGGCAATAAATTGGAGGCTGGCCAGGTGTGCCGAAGGCTGCCTTGGTGACTGCCTCTCTGACATCTGCGAGTGGGACCGCCATGTAGGGAAGTAGCAAAGGTTTCCGCATAACAATAACAATATAAAAAAACATGAAGTACTTTTATCAGTTGTCCGAAAAACTAATCACACCTAAGGAAATTTCCCAGAATCCCCCGACCATATTGTACTGTTTTCGGCTGCTTTGACCGTCTTATTCATCAGAAGCAGTATTTTCCAGTGATCATATTTGGACGGATCATTTGGTAATGACTAATGTAAAAACCATTCCCCAAGAGCCTCTGTCATTATTCAGGAAGGAGAATATATGTCACTCTTGGCAGACTAGAAGCATCAGTTTTTCTTACCCTTCGGGCAGCGATGCCCTGCGTTTTGGCGCAAAATATGCTTTGGACTGTAACTAGATTTGCGTCGTTTTTGAGGTAAGCGTACATAGCAACCTCACGACAGCCAGGCTGTAGTACGAATACGCCCTTTCTGCGTTCCGTTATATTCACTACGGTACTAACTTTGAATTCTTGCTATAAAGTCGGTTAATTCGTTCTGAGAGTTTTGCCCTTTTTCTTTTATGCGTTGATTAATTAACCGACCTGGTCACGGTTGTTGCACAATCCTAAAGAATACACATATTTATATTAGCGTCAACTTTTTGTGCTTGGCTTCGTCCATTCGTACCGCAATATTGCGGTACATACATATGTATGTGCGATCTTTAGAGCTTATTAGCCGTCAGCCTACAGTTAAAGACTTCAAGCAATATTTCTTACTGCCAACGCGGTAACCCGACAGCAAGGTTAACAGAAAATTTCATAAGAGCTGAGTTACCCGCTATGCCGAGCCCAGTGGGGATAAATGGTACTCGGAAACTACCAGTTTATTTACCATGTCAACAGGTACTCTGGGCTGGGTGACCGTTGTCGATGTGCTTTACGGCTCCATTATTCGCAGTTTGACCAAAACCAAACGCTGGAATGAGTAAATGGACCATTTTCTCAACCAGGGTGGTCGATTAATCCCCTACTTCTGAAACAAATGTCCGTCCACGGCCTACGTACTGTCGACGTTGTTACTAAGCAATAACAAGGGCCTTGGAAGTCGTTGCTTCGCCCTTAAGGTTAGCAGATTTTGTATAGAATTTCCTGCTTCTTTCTAACTCCATGGAATGTTTGGAGGACCATATTGGGACAGACTCGTTTCTGATGACTGAGACCCAACTATTTTTCGGCACCTCATTTAAGGAGAAAAAACGAGATATATCAGCGACTGCGGCACACCTTTTATCGTCGTTTCTGAAACCGTTTTTATCCCCATCATTCACAAACGTTGTAGAGTGACCGCGACTCAAAGATAAAAAATAATCGAGCCCGGGCTTCTAATAAAGGTAGATGCATCGACTGGATATTCACGCTGAAGCTCACTCCCTAATTCTGCCACGGCTACCAGCAACCCACCGTAGTCTATTTCGTCGACTTTAGTGCAGTGTTTGCGATCGTTTTTAGTGAGTCCCCATGACTTATAATATAATAAGCTGATGTTTCCCAGGAATTTCGCTGTCTTCAATGCTTACTATCCACCATCGCGTGGTTTTCGGCTAACAGCACTGCCAGACGTTCAATTTTCTGCTTCGCATCTGACAAGATTGCATCCAATACCTCTTCCTGCTTAACTGCGACCTCGACTAGCTACCTGGATGACCTGCAAATCTAGGGTGTGTCGGATTCGTATCGGGACGCCCATCGACAGTCTTCGTCTACGCTGACAATGCGGTCCTCCTATTGTTAAGATGTAATGCATTTCAGAATCTAGTCCTTTGGTAAACGAGATATCAAATCAGTCGCTTCGCTCAGGGAGAAGGCAACAACCGAAGTATTGTCAGGCTGCATCCCTGACTAAAAGAAGGCTCATCTCATGGTCAACGACTGTAAGTTTAGAGAAATGTGCTATTTCAACTATCTTGGTGTCAGGTCTTCTTCGAGCGTAAAGAATAAGGATGGGATTGTCGCCAAATCTATGCTGTTCGCGGAGTTTTCGCAAGCTTTTGAAGCGTCTCGTGTATCCGTTCCGATATCTTCGTAGCCCGGGACATTCTTGTTTGGTTGTGAATTCGGGGGTTTTCAGCCTTTTTTGCCTGATAGTGATTCTGCGAATGGAGTTTATAGACTTCGTTTCAACTGTCACAATGTACTCACTGCAACTACATTGCGAGGATATCAGGGAAAGGCGCCAGCGTTGGCTTTGTACTTTCCTTATCGTTCTCATCACATGGTCAGAGCCGATGTCCATGGTCCCACTGAACGCAACACAGAGGGGGTCAACCTGAAACCCTTAAAGACTAAGCGGTGGTTCCAGCCACCGCCTTTTGCCCAAATAGGGATCAGAGTAGTATAACATCACAGACATGCTATTTGTGATTTTACCACATACGAGCCGATCCCTATCCATGTAGCTTCTTCGTAGACTTTTCGGATGACAGACGTTACCTTCGATCTGTAACTCCTTGTCCAAGCGCGTTCCTTTTTGCGTGGAAGAATACCTTATTTTGGCTTGATCCGACAAGTGCCTCATGCTTTCTAGAATGTGGATTCTTGTATGCTGTCTGCGTTTGTTGGTGACCTAACTCATGAAAAATTAACTGGAATTTTGAAATATGATTTGGGTTCGAAAAATTTGCTTGTGTAAGGTTATACTGCAGATTACTATGCAGCATAATCCCGAGACATTTCAGTCATGCCAGGAAGTGGACTTCTGAATATGCGTCTGTCTAGTCGTCGGTAGAAATGACTACCTGAGCGTTGCTATTTTCTTCGATTGATTTCCAACGGTCTTATCAATTCAAAGGTATTTTTAAAAAAAAACATGCACAAAAATACCGTTTCCCATACCCCTATTGTAATAAATGACGTACTCAAATTTTTTACCTGTCAATTTACCTGAAATTGTAAAAATTTCCGAGTAATTTGAGTTCATCGTACCGCCTCACTTACGTTCAGGATTTCTAGAGTATTAGCTGCACGGTTTCATTTGAGGAAAATAAGACAGTTTTCTATGCTATTACGAAGAGAATATACGGAAGTTTATTAAATTTTAAAATTGATATGAACCACATCGCACGCTTTACAATAAGCGTTAGTAAACGGACAGATACGACGGATTCTCGGTCTTGGAGAATACCATGGATATAGACATTTTCAAACCCAGAACTACCATTTATTTGGGCGGAAAATCTGAAGACGCAGTTTCCTACAAAGTGAGTACAAGAAGAGATGTCATTACGCATGGTATAAAATATACTAGAAAACTCGTACTGTTTAAGCTGTCGTTTTTGGCGAATGCGACTTTTTCAGGCGGCTGGAAAGACAAGCATTCATTAGTCGGCATCCTGGCTCGACTGAAATAGCATGGGATTATCGCATGGTAATAAATATTACAACTTTACCCTAGTAAACGTTTCAAAACAAAACCACATTTCAGAATTTCAGTCGATGTTTCATAAGTCACCCTCTCATGACTTACCCTCAGATTCTTCTCCCATTGCCAATCGGACACTCTTTAGTTTCTTTGGTTTGTAAAATAAAAAGGTTCTTCCCTATATGGGCAGTCCCTTCACTCGGGTTTTTCTCGAACTCATTGAATCACTTAGAGCTACCCTGCCACAAATGTTGCTGGCAAAGAAATTTTGTCTTAACACTGGGACTTCATGTACCCACAGCCATTTCAGCTGGAATTTGTAGTAGGTTAACCCAGTCCATATCCACTGACAAGGTTCTGCCTTCAAGCACTCGGTAGGTTATCAGGCCGTTGAAACTCGTCTTGCCTGACAGCCTCTCAAGTTCCTGTTCTGCCGACTCCAGGTTGAAGATGCTCGCCATAAGTTAACTTGATTTACTGTTCGGTTTGGCATATATCTGCGTTTCGTCTTCTTTATGATCAGGTCATAACAGGTGGATAAGACGTAGAATCCCGTCTATTGTTTCAATTTCTATTCTCAGCCTGGTTCTATGCCATGGACAAGCCGCAAATCATCGGTCACATACAAAAGTCGTTGAACTACACGCTTTATGATTGCAAATGGGTCCCCGTCAGCACGAAGTTTGTAGTTGTGGGTTCCAATCCTCGTGGCACCGCCCAGCTCCAGGTGTATGACGTCACTGCAACAGATGTGAAGCTTGTATACGAGGTAAACAGTTGTCATATGCACTGTGATTCATTTCCTGTTATTCTAATCACCTTCCTTCTCCTTCGTCTTTGACTCCGTTGCAGTTGTCTTTTTTACATCGAGAGTCAAGTTTCCTGAGAAATGTGAACACTTCATATGCGAAGGCATTTCTAAACGCGCAACGAGTTCCCCACTTGATCCCCCATGTCTCCGTGAGCCTTAAGGATTTTGCCGAAATCGCCAAGATCTCGTTCTTTCGCAAGTGCGATGGGCTTCCCAACAAAATTTATAATTTATGATTTGTTTCTTTATCCTCTGGCCTGATCTTAATCTCCATAAGCCTCTATGTGTTTGAAAGCCTTATCAAAGGTCAAAATGCCATTGTATTCGTCAGCTTTAGAGTGAACGTCCTCTTCCTCCTGCGTACGTCAAGTTATGTAGAATGGCGATGGGTTGGCATAATATTCTTGGTTACTTAGTTGAGACGTAGTTTACAATTGTCATGTTGCTTCTGACAAGCTTCGCGCAATCTCAACCTCATTACAATTTCGAGATACCTATGACGTGATCCACCCTCAATGCTTTACAACAGTCTTCTCGGAGGCGAGCAAAAATATGCCTCTGCTTGTGTCGTCGACTGTTAAAAGTGTGTCTATTTCAGTCCATTTCGTGGATTCTTCTTCTACACCCTGCCGCAAGTCAGACTTGCAAATTTCTATGGGACTTGTTTCGCTTCTTTCAAGTCCAAAGTGCTCTTCTGGACTTGAGTGCGAATACTGACCAATGGGAGCTCCTAGGAGACGTAGCATTTTGTTGTATGCTGTTCATTATATCGGCAGAACGGAAGGCTTATGTCGATCCTTATCGCCTGTTAAGCCGACAAGCTATCATCCCGAAGTGAACAGAGGGTCTGCTACTCATACCTACTATCATTGTGTTAATCTGCCCTTGTGGTCAGTACTGTGGGTATGTGAGGGTAACTAGTTCGAGGAGTAGGAGTCAAAGCCAGCGACCCATTGATTTGGCCTCTATGACGCCCACGTAAACATAGGATTCGAGCCTCCATTCCAAAAGGCCCCGTACATTGTCCGGGGACCAGGTCGCGTGTGGCACGCGTAGACGGGCTGTTTAACCTTGCCAACTACCACGTCAGAGCTCATCCCCGGCCTTCTTGAAATTGACTCGCCATTGGAAACTCGTGGGTGAGGGAGGGGAGCCTATGGCAGATGCTGCGCAAGTCTGCCCCTCTGTAAACTAATTTAAGCAAAAGTCACCGGTGCTGTGTTCACCCCGTAGGGCACACGGTGGAGGTCGTTGCCGGCGGCGGTCGGACTCTCGGTCAACGATCATAAGTACTATGAGTTTGTCCGAGGCGCAGCCGTTAACAGATTGAGGGGAAATTGCACGGTAAGGTTGCCTAATCAACTCCGCAGTGATGAGGCATGCCGAGATGTATTGTGTGAACAGCCTGACAAGTATCTAATCATCCGGATTGTTGGCCTGAAGGCTTCTGTTCTGCCGACGGTTTCCTGTCATAATTGCGTTTTTTCAAGCCAGACTTGAAATTAGAAACAAGACCGTTGACTGGTGTTGTCTATTGGAAAAACAAGAAATATCGGCCTATAGTACTAGTCGCCATACGACTGCCTCAAGACAAAACGAGAATAACAGGTCTCGTGACGCGGTCGGTGGGCGCCCCCTAGATAAACATTGAGAGACAGGACAGTGCCGATGGGTACTGATAATGTCGGCGAATGCCGAATGTTTCTCTTTATGACCTATTTAGAAGACGAAACTACTTTTTGGCACTCGTCTTTTTGGACGACATTTCCTCAATTTGATATTCGGCAGTCCTCTTAAAGGCAGCCTTTGAATTTAGGATAATTGCGTTTAGCCGTTGTTGGTACAAGTGATTATGCTCCGGCTCTAAGTAAGGAAAGTATATACTGATTTTTCGTGAGGAGGGATTGTCCTGGTGTCAGCCAAGTCTCGTGTTTTCCTTTCCACGCATCGTCGATTGTCTGAGCCTATCAACTAGTTGGTGGCGGGATTTAGTACTGTGGCTAATAGCGTGAAAGTTAGTCTGTCCCTATTGGCCTAATTACAGTAACGTTTTCCACTCTACTTGCATACGGCCAGTAGTTTGTTCTTTTTTCACATCTAAGCGTGCACATTCGAGGCTCGAAATCCATACATCTAGCTTCGAACTACGCTTTTTCTAATTTTTTTTTGGGAGCGAAACTGCAAAGAAAACAACCGAGTTAGCGACCAGTAAGGACTGGACAACGGTTCTGTAGATCATGCAGAGTGCCGGTCCCAAGACTTCACCAATGAACTCCGCGCGTTTACAGTCTCGTATTTGTGATAATCCATGACTGATCTGACGCAACCACGATTTCGATTTTCTAGTATTTCAACTAATAAGCCGTACCCTGGTGCCTCAAGATTTCCAACGCTAGAGCTAATTTTGCGTTATGATGATTGGTTCCAGTTCACCTCCTCAGTCTACTCGATGCCAATTCCATCGATTACCGAGGGTACGGAGACAGGTACTCCTTTGCTTTCATCTTAATTGGCATTCTCTCTCCCCGTAGTCTGGACGCCCTGATTACATATTCAAGACGTCGAACCTTTTCTGAAGTGAACCTCACAGTGCTCATTGACTCGTCTTTTGTTTGTAAACTATGCGCTGCCAACTGATGTCAAAAGTTCATGTTTTCTGCAAAACAACTGATTCTTTCCCGTCTCTGAGCCTTGTGACAAGTACAAGACGCCTAGCAGAACGAGTCCTGAAGAAATAGCGCCAGCAACACTTTTGCGCAAGTTATAACACATTTTGCTTAGTTGAAATTTACCCCGTTCTTTTTGTGTCCTATTGTATACATGTCTCCATCTATCTCTTCAGTGGAATTTACCAAATTGTTTATTTGCTAATTATTTAGGTAGAAAAGTCCAATTCCTACAAATGCTGCACATTTGGCGCATCCCGTCTCCCCTACGCTCACCTTGCAACGGGCGCCTTCAATGGACGCATGGCCATTTGGGATTTAGCTGAGGGTGGGCGTCTAGACGCGCCCATCTACGCAGTCCAGGCACATTCTGAAATCATAAACACCATCGACGGCGTTGGTGGACTCGGCGTGGGTGAGGGCGCGCCAGAGATAGCAACAGGCAGTCGAGACGGAACCGTCAAGGTCTGGGATCCCCGACAGCCCAAAACACCCGTTGTCACTATGGAACCATCTCAGGACGAGAAGCAGTCCAGCGCTGGAGACAATCCCTCAGTTGGGTCAAGCCGAGACTGTTGGACTGTGGCCTTTGGACACGCTTATAATGCTCACGATCGCTGTCTAGCGGCAGGCTATGACAATGGTGATATCAAACTGTTTGATCTGCGCGCCATGAAGGTGCGCTGGGAGAAGAACGTCCGGAACGGCGTCTGTGCGCTGGAGTTTGATCGGAAAGACATTGACATGAACAAACTCGTGGCAACCACGCTGGAGTCGAAGATTCACGTCTTCGATATGCGCACTCAACATCCAGAGAAGGGATTCGCCTGCCTCACCGAGAAGGCCCACTCCTCGACTGTTTGGCAGGTCCGACATCTGCCGCAGCAGAGGGACATCTTTATGACGACCGGTGGGAACGGGTCATTGTGCCTCTGGAAGTACAATTACCCGGCAAAGCGCCGGAAGATGGTTCAGGTGACCCCCACTGCTGAGGGTCAACCGGCGACTGAAGTGGCTGAAGGTGTGGCCGGCAGTCTTTCACTGCTGCAAAACATCACACTGTCAACACAACCCATCGCCGGTCTAGACTGGTGTAGGGACAAGATGGGTTTGGCCGTCTGTGTGGCCTTTGATCAAACTCTCCGCCTGCTCATTGTTACCAAATTAAATAGAGTGTGAACAGTGTTTAATCTCTCATTTCCGATCTACCGTCTGTTGTGACTTTCGAAAAGTAGGTATGTTCGAATGAAGCTTTTCCGAATGCTCGACCCCAGGATTTCCGAATCAGAACTATAAGCTGGGTTTACTGACTTGGTTGCTTGGGCTTTTCGTGTTATAGGGTTTGTCTTTTCAAACCTCACTACAGAATTTCAGGTAAAGTCATGGATCTAAAAGTGTGGATTGTCATGAAGTAATCATTTTCCCGCCCTGGCTAGTTCCAACTGAACAAACCCAAAATAAGGTAAATTGGCGCGAAAAGGCAGTCTACTGGTACATGAGAGGGGGCGAACGAAGGTCGATACTAGTGAATTCAGAATGACATTACAGACAAAGACAAGGGAGACTGGTCTCCTTGTCCCCTATCTTTGTCCGTAATGTCATTCAGCCTATATCATGCGCCGCTGTGCGGCTGCTGGTTGGGCTCGAGAGAGAGCCCGTAAGGCACAACGGAACGAGTGTGTTCCGTAAGAACGATCGGTGAGCGCCCCCTTCTAGTAAATTCATTCTCACGGCACATAGGGGCACGCCTGCCTATAATCACTGAGTGCGCCAAGAGTCGAGGGCTTGGAAGGCTACCAAGTGACGGGATTAGTGGGTCATCATGGGAATATTTTAGTGATTAGAGGACTGAGACTGAGGCTGCAATATCTATTTTTCCATGTGGCCCTGATGGCACTCACCTACTTGATATACGAGCCGTCCTCACAGAAGCGCCTGGTACATGTAGTGCGGACAAGATGTTTGCAGCACTCGCAGACAGGCTGTTTGAATTTCTGAACCAATGGGCTTGCGCCCATTTCCATTCATTTTGATCTTTTCGTACCACCTGTGCAAGGTTGGTGAGGTGAGATGGAGGGTGATAGGTGCGTTGTGCAAGTCTGCCTAGTTATAGACGAATTCCCGCGAAAGTCAACGGTGTGGAGCCCAGCCGGTAGAGCACTCGGTGGATGTCGTTGGTCTCAGCGGTCGGACAGTCATCGGAGACCTGTTGTATAAAGCAGAAAACTTAATTAAGCACACATGCCTTGGCTGGCTTGGTTCAGTGTTAACTGTCTGGTGTTATTCCGCCATCTTCTTTGGAGAGGGTCGGCCGTTGTGCAAAGCAGTATTTCTAGGAGGACACAAGCAGGCAAGTACGACACTTACCGTGCCGAGCAGCCAATTTTTGCAGCGAGAATTCACATGACCATTGTCGATCACTTCTCTGGAGTTGATGCGGAGCTCGGCCGTTGGCTAGGTGACTTGGATTTAAGTTACCTGCCAGCCTTATAAATTACACTATATTTTATAGAAATCATGCTCAAAATATGCTTTCTTTCACTCATTTGGTGGTAAATCACGTCTTCTTTACATTTTATACTAGAAGAAAGAGCATGTTTAGGTTTTGACATAATTTCCTAATTCCCCAATAAATTTGAGCTAGATCAGCCGTTGTGTTTAGCGATTTCAGTCTACAACGTGTATACCTCCCGCGTACAAAGAACTCTACATTCCTCAATGCATTTAAGATAGCACATAGAGTCCATAAAATTTGGCAATGAATGCGGACTATGTTGTATATTTCATGAGGAGCATTAATAAACGCACAGACGGGATGCTCTATAAATTTACATTTCCCGGTCTGAAACATCTCATAATTGTACACTTTGTTAAAATCGAAAGATATCCTTTCTTCGATTACAAATGTGAGTACGACGTGATTCGCTACCAAATGAATGAAAGGAAGCAGATTTTGTGCATTTTTACTCCAAAATATATTCGAATTTATAAGGTCATCGAAAATCATTGTGGAAGCGCATACTCTTTAAGTGGGAATTTTTACCGGGCGCGGTTTGTACAGGAAGTTGAAAGGATGTGCATTTAAAAGGTACTTACTTGTACTTGATACGGCTGCGATCATGCCTGATCTAGCCGGCCTCGATGATGTCCCGAATTGTACCTCTCCACGCGTGACGATCCGCGGCAGCAGATCTAGACAGCTCAACCCATTAACTTCGCCAACGACGGAGACCGAATACCGAAGGTCCAAGAACCACCTCCATGTCTTGACGGACAGTGTCGAGCCAGGTTTTGAACTGACCCCCTCTTCGACGCCTCCAATGGGGCAACGGTGCCGGATCGAGGGCAGTAACACTGAGCTCCTGAGGTGGACGACGAAGAACATGCCCGAACCACCTCAATCGTCTTTCTTGGATGGCCTGAGTTATCCTCGCGATGTTGGCGCAGCGAGCGCGGACAATATCATTTGAGACGAAGTCGGTTAACTTCACTCGAAGGATGATCCTCAAGCAGTGGTGGTCAAATACCTCCAGTTTTCGCTCATCCGCCACGCGCAAAGCCCAGCATTCACAACCGTAGGGAAGGACAGACCGGACAGATGCACGGTACACGCGAATCTTAGTGGCGATGGAGAGGTCACGTCGGTTCTATAAGCATTTCTGAAGGCATGAGAAAACCCAACGGACAGCATTGATTCGGGAGACAATGTCGTCCTTACTCTGTCCATTAGGCAGCAGCCGCGCCCCGAGGTATTTAAAACTGTCCACTTCTTCAAGTTGACAGCCATCAATCTCGAGGGGTGCCTTCTCCTGGTCACGGATGCAGCTTGAGAACACTTTGGTCTTCCCAGCGTTTATGGACAAACCGACTGATTTAGCGACCTCGTTCACTCGTGACACCATAGACTGCAGATCACCAAAACTTGAAGCAAGTAAGGCGATATCATCGGCATAGTCGAGATCAGTCAGTCGATGTCCGGGTGCAAATTCAACACCGTCACTGTCGCGTAGGGCCCTCCCGAGGATCCAGTCAATAGCGTAGTTGAACAGTATGGGTGACAGGATACAACCCTGTCGGACGCCAGACCGAATACCGAACGGTTGGGAAAAACTGTTACGGACCAGGACTCTCGCAGTGGTGGAACGATAGTAGGCCTTGATCATGGCTATGATTTTTTCCGGTACACCATCTAGCGCCATTATCCGCCACAGGGACTCACGGTGAACGGAATCGAACGTGGCGGCAAAGTCAATGAAGCAGACGGCCGTCGGTTGTTGGTAGCTATGGCGAAATTCGAGAATGTGCCTCAGTGTGAATATCTGATCTGCGCATCCACGTCCAGCACGAAATCCGGCTTGGTTGGGCCTCGTCCTTGAGTCACACACAGCCTGGAATCGCCTAAGTAGGACGATAGCGAAGATCTTCGCAGCAACGTCGATGAGACTTATGCCGCGGTAGTTCTCGCATCTCGTCTTATCTCCCTTCTTGAGGATAGATACAAGGATGCCTAAGCCCCAGTCATCAGGAACAACCTCGTCTCTCCACGCTCGTTCAATCACCTCATGGAGCCAGGGCGCCAGAGTGTCGACACAAGACTTAAAGATTTCAGCGGGTATACCGTCCTCTCCGGGTGCCTTATTCTTGCGCAACTTTCGTATGGCATCGGCGACTTCTTCCTCGGAGGGGGGATCACATGACACTGCATAGGAAGGAGAGGGAAGAAACTCCGCTGAGGAGGAGAACAAGGGCGATGTAGGTTGAGTATCGAAGTTGAGATGGTGCTCAAAGTGCTCACGCCAGCGCTCGACTTTGGCCGAGTTGTCAGCAATAAAGCCGCCGTTCACATCGCGAACAGAGTCACTCAGTGTAGAGAGCTTACCGCTAACTTGGCGGATCAGACGATAGAGCTTTCGAGTGTCACCAACGTTCGAGGCCTGTTCCATGGATGTCGCTATTTCAGCCCAATATTGTTTCCGGTCATCCCTGGCCGATTTTGCCGTCATCTTCCGAAGTTGGCGGAAGTAGTCATCGTTGCGGGACCTGGCTCTAGCCGTCTGAGCAGACATCTGCAGGGTTCTTCCGCTGATCAAGTCACTGCGGCGTCGCTGGGTGTATCCAAGGATTTTCTCAGCTGCCCCATAGACTGATGTCTTCAGTGACGACCACTGGTTACTGACTTCTGCGTCGACTCGGGCCGTAAAACAGGTCCGGATTTCTCTGCTTAGGGCCTCGGCAGTGCTGGCTTGCCGGAATTTTGCGACATTGAGGCGTCTTTGACGTGGCATTTTTGGTGCGGATGAGAGGTGAACTTTCAGGCGTGTACGGACGAGGACATGGTCCGACCCATGGGCGTTACCAGTCTCGGCACCATGCATCGATCTGCTATCGTGAACCCAGCTGCGGAACCTTGAGCTGACTAGTATGTAGTCAATCTGACTGGCCGTACGACCGTCGTTTGAATACCAGGTCAGCAGATGTTTTTTGCGATGCTGGAAGCATGTGTTGGTGACAAGCAGTCGGTTTCGATCAGCGAAGTTCAGCAATCTCTCACCATTTTCACATCGAGAACCAAGCCCAAAGCGGCCAAGAAGATGACTGGTTGTGGGGTCGCCAGGTCCAGTTCGACCATTCCAATCGCCAGCAACAATCAGCAGATCGCGGCGAGGCAGTCTTTCAACTAGCGCTTGCAACTGAGAGTAAAACGCCTCTTTATCGCGCTGTTCGGCAGCCGAAGTTGGTGCGGACACAGCGACGATGGAGATGTTCGTGAAGTGACCCTTCAGTCGCACGTAGGCCATCCGGTCATTTACTGGTTCCCAAGCAAGTAGCGCAAGCTCCGCTTGTTGTGATAGGGCGATCGCCACACCGTGTCGACCAGAGGAATCGCGGGGGCCGCTGTGGTACAGGGTGAAGTGGGATTCGACTCCCGGGATCTTTATTTCACGAGAGCCCGAGTCAGGGAGTCGTACCTCAGACAGACGGCAGACATCCACGTTGTACTGATAAAGGCTGCGTGCGGTCAGACTTTGGGTATCAGGGTCCAGGAACGTTCGTACATTCCAGCATCCAATACTGAGAGTCCTTCCACGATTGAGTAGTCCAGCTCGCATACTATTCGCCCGCACCACTGGACTAGGATTGCGGAGCGCGTCGGTTCCCGCGGACGCCGTAGCATGGGT